AACTGTTAACTACTGTAACAAGTAAAGCTATCTGTCCATCAGGAAACTCTGTGAATAACTGAGTTGAGGAAGAGCAACCAGGAGACATCAGAGAGAAAACTAGAATGTATTTTCTCCATATTTCTAATATTTCTCCATCAAATATCCAATTTCAATGAAATGAGTGAAAAAAGTTGTGCTTTTGTATAGTATTGAGAAATCTTTTCATTGGACAGAGTGGTTTTCCAAATGACAAACTTAAATATCAAGAATACCTACAAAACAAATTTTTTTTGTCATTGATGCCAGATATTGCCATACTGGTGACATAGTGCAAAGCATATCATATAAAACATTTAAATAGGGATGTCATGAACCCTGCATCTCTCACCTGAGTTTGGGACTGATTTTTTTAAACCTGGGCATGTCTGATTTCCTGAGTTGGCACTTGCTGCACCTGCTGGTAATGATGCACCTGTTCCTCATCAGCCATCCCTACTTCTTAAGGAGAGACCAGACTTCCGTTCCCTGCTGGATTGTTAAGTCATGTACCGAAGGTCTTACCTTAGCATCTAGCCTTAAGCCTGTTAATCTAGCACCCACTTTGCTTTTACTAACTCTCTGCCTGTCTCCAGATCACCTGCTCTGCCTGCCTGCCTGCCTGCCAGTTCCAAGTACCTCAAAGCCGAGATCCAAACTTTCCAGCCACACCAGCCAGCCCTCACGCTCCACTACTTGGAAAGAGACTCCCTGCCACCTCACCTTGCCTAGTTTGCTCACCCTGCCTCAGTCAATAAACTGTTTAACTGCTGCTTTGTTTCTGTGTCTGCATCTGGGTTCTAGCATAACTCCTGACAATGGATTTGGAGAATAGGAGATTTAGTTATTGTATATTTCTCTAAAAAAAAAACTCTGAGCAGAAAACGCTTCATTGATACTACTTTTGTCTTCATTTGCCTATTTGGCATTGAAGTAATCCAAAAGTAACTAAAAGTAATCAGTTCACATTACTTTTATTTTTTGGTACTTGCATTATGTTATTGATTACATTTTTTAACAATTGTACCGGATTACAGTTTTAAAGTAATCCTCCCAACCCTGGTTGCGTATATGCTGCTAGCATAGCCCAGTCAGTACATGATTTATGACATTGAGAAGCAGGAAAATAGGAATAAATCCTTAAGAGTAACTACATGACTCTAGTTGGTTGGGGAAGAGCGTTACATTATAATCAAGTAGGGTATTCAATCATAAAATCCTTTTTATGTACACATGACTACAGATGACAGATATAAGAAATAAACTAGAATCTAATTTACAAATCAGTGGAATAGGTTAGGATGTTGCAAGACTGTATATTTCTTGAGGCAAATATGGGTGTGATGCATTAAACACTAGCTTGCTGTATGTGAATGGCTAAAGATCTGAGATGTGGCCAGAGATTCAGAGGTCTGGAACCAGGTTAGTAAAACACAAAATTTAACTGAAATTCAGGTGAGTGTTTTTTCTTCCCTAAAATTAAAGGCACATGCAATAGGGGATCTGCTGTAACTGTCAATTGTGACATAAAATCAAAATTGGTTGGTAAAAATAACGTCTCATCTAATGGCAAAGTCTTGCTTTGTTGGTTAGAGTGACAACTTTGACTGGTATTCAATGTTATGTGTCCATGTGTTAACGTGATTGTACTTCATGAAGCTTTGCCACAGTATAAAGAGAACTCATTCTAATTCTCTTGAGGAATATTAGCATGTGTTGTCTCACAAACAAAGGGCCCTGCACTCTCTAACGTTGAGTAATTAGCTCCCTATTCCTCCTAACCTGCTCCTTTATATCAATTATTGCATATAGCACTGCGACACAACAGTCTTACAAGACAAATCCCTGCAAGTACTCAGTGATTGATTGGCTTGCCTTACAATACAATGAATGGGGAAAAAAGTGATGCTCAATTTAGCTCGGGACCTGGGAATAAATATTGTATAATATAACAGTTTGATTTATTATACTTGATTTGATTTTTTTTGCCTTTTATTTTTAAAATTCCAAATTCCCTGTTCTTTTTCCCTTCCCTTTTGCATGGCCATAACAGCTATCAAGTAATTTACAGGTTCCTGTGATGCTGGGAATAACCATTCCTAGAATATGATATTACTGCAATACGTTTGAGACAAAAGTCTGTCACAGACAATAAATATATAAATATAATATACAAACTGAATGACAACTAATATTCATGTTACTGTTGAGAGATCAGAAAAAAAGCTTTTTCTACACTGTGTTTTCTTTTGATGATATTGGGACCCCCGATTTTTGTACCTCAAAAAGTATTGAAGTACAAAATTGCACCAAAAACTTTCAATAAAAGACCCTTTCAGAATTGAGTCTGGCACGTTATTCCTGGTATTCCCAAGAAGCCCTGACAGAAAAAGTTCAGTCTGTTTTAGTCACAAATGACAGGCAGTGTACAGGTTGGTAAGGAAACAGTAGTTCAAAAATGTGATCAGGGGCATTACATGAAATCATTTACAGCACGTAATAAATCAGAAAATGCAAAAGCCCCTGTGCTCTTGCTATGACCAGCCAAAATGTTGGCTGTGAAAAAAGGTCTATTGAAAGCATGATTGAAAGTGGTATTGTTAAAATTAGGTGGATCTTGGCCAAATGTTATTATTTTAAACGTGTGAATTAACTGGATGAAAAATGTTAAGTGATGTGAGAGACAGGAAATTTAGGGGAGAGAGAGAGGGAATGACATGCAACAAAGGGCTACGTATTGTACTGTGTTGCAACTTTCAATGTTTGAAAATATAAAGTTTAACGGTTAGATTGATTGATATCATGCCCACATTTGGTGCCTACGGCTTTTGCCTAGCGCTCAGTATTGACCAGATGATTCCATACCAACACTACCGACCACATTTGATGGATTTACTTCACTGTGTCCTGCTTTACATAATACATCCCTCAGTGTAAATCTAGGGAATCAGCCCCACTTTCTCAGTGGTCAGGAGAGGTTCATGTGAAGGTCATCATTTCAATTTCTCTACAGATGGGTGACCTCACCCCTGCCCTTTCTGGGGAAAGCTTACCCTTCCATTGGCTCCAAACCCAATTAGTATGAGTACATTGATTTAAGCTGATTATGCGGCCTGTCCATAGTGACCTCCCATTCCTTGGGGCTGAAGATTAATAAACATGATCATTGATTACTTACGTATAATGAGCATGGATTTGGTGGCAGCTCTCAGCAGGAGTTACGAAAAAAACAGTTAAAGCACTGGTTCATCCCTTCCATTTTTAACCTTTATATTACCTATGATGCCTCTATTTTTACTCCAGGGTTTCCAGCAGTGTTTTATATTAACGGTAACATCACTAAAATAAATGATTTTTTTATGAAATATGACATCAAATAAATAAAATAAAAAGAGCCATTGTGTATTTCGCGCAAATCTGTAGCTGTTGTGATAGGGTTATCAAGTAACACATAATATTAATGGTGGTTAATCGTTTTGCCATGGTCTACATATGCTTATTAAACTAAACTATATACTAGTCACCATTGTTGGATATACTTTGAATACTGTGGTGTTATGTTTCAGTGATCTTCTGTTCGCCTCATTTTCTCTCTATCTCTCTCTCACACACACACACACAAACACTCTCACATACATGGTGGTCTATCCCAGTAAATAGTTAGAAGAACAGGTGGTTGGGTTGGCTTTACCAAAAACTCTATAAATACTTTCACTTCATTGTTACCATTAATGTGTGGCCCTTTCTCCAAATTTATCTTATAAAATAATTATCAACATAATTGCGTTCTACGTGAGGAAATGCCAAGACCCACTTTATACAGCCTATTTATAAAAAGATAGAATATCTGAATCAAGTGACCCTTTGCTCTGCTGCTCATGTATGATATATAATATTAACATAACAATGACATACAGAAGTGATCCCACTTATAATAATAATGCACCCACTCTCCTGAACTATTTCTGCATGCTTAGTGTCTTTTGTTTTTGCTTGAGCCCCCCTGTAAATATCTCAGCACTGACACATGTACTCCACAAACAACGACGGTTAGAATGACAGAAATTCCAAAACATCTTGACCTCATAGCTCAGATGTTCTTTTCTTTGGATTAGCAACAACTGTCAACGCCACAGTGCTATAGCATTATTGTAAAATAAGGGCTCACCCTCTGTGTGTGTGTGTTCCTGCTTGAGCATCGGTATGTGTGTGCTGAGCCTGCTAAGAAAAAACTAATAAAAAAGACTTAGACTTAGAGAAGCCTGACTTATACAATACTTGGATTTCATCTTTCGTTAATTTTTCACAGCATATACTTTGCACTGTGTGTAATACAGTGTATTGTGCTATTTTCTCAAAAATCAGCTATTTTATCTCAAAAAAAGCAACATAATGTAACATGGGTTTTTTGGGGGGGGGGATTTGGCGCCCCTACTGTTTCAGAGTGTAATTCCTGGCTGTCATAACTAAACTGTCCACTAGCATTTGTTATGATTACATTATGATCAGAAACTAGCAAGTTACCAACTTTGCTAACACAGCCAAACATCAAGTAAGTGCATCATCATGAGACAAAGCAATATTACTTACTAGTCCAACTGTCTACACAGAAAGACTGCCATTTCTGTGTCTTGCAGCCTTTTATTTCACAAAGCGCTAGCCTTTTGCTTGGTAGGTCACTTTCTTTTTTTCTTCTTAACTTCCTCGGACAGCATCCTCTTCTGTCCTTAGAGGCTGCTGAGCTCAGTTATGTTGCCCTAGGGCCCCGTGGCCAGCAGAGGGCCCCCTACAGTCACTGCTTGCTAGTGGTGGAAGAAAATCACTGACAAAAGAAACGTAAAATAATAAAAATAAAATGAAAGAAAGCTCTTTTATTACGCACCATAATAAGCATAGTGTTTATTTAATTTACTTTGGAAAATCAGCTGTGACCTGTGACTCCTAACCTTGACTGACCCTGTGACATCACCGACATCACTCGCTTGACGTCTGACAAGAGAAGATCATATTTGTCTGGACATGTAAAAAGACAACAGAAGAGAGGAGGCAAGAAGATAAAGGTACGTAAGTTAAGGCCACAAGCTCCATTTCCTATGCCTGTTTTTTAGATAATCTGCACTAAAGGTCTTACATTAGTCTTAGTTAGCCGCGCTGGTATTAACAATGCTAACGCTATAGCTTGCTAACATGCTAACTGCATAAATACAGTATAGTATTAATATTATACCATAGTATAGGATTAACTTGCATTGTTAAAATCAGTTGATTAGATTAATAGTGTTATTAGGACATGGGTCTTCTCCAATTTAAGCCATTAGCCTATCTTTTAACAATGCTAACGCTATAGCTTGCTAACATGCTAACTGCATAAATATAGTATAGTATTAATATTATACCATAGTATAGGATTAACTTGCATTGTTAAAGTCAGTTGATTAGATTAATAGTGTTATTAGGACATGGGTCTTCTCCAATTTAAGCCATTAGCCTATCTTTTTTCTATCTAACTATCTCTGGAGCTGAGCTGTTCAAATCTAAAGTTATAAAGCATTTACCTGAACAAAACCAGATGGGTCAGGTTTCAACAGGTCATATCACCTAAGAAGCTGACTCTGCTGGTAGGTTATGTGTTTTAGTTAAACTTACAGAGATGCCCTGTTCTTTCATTATATATCAAATCTGTCTTGTAGGGAGTACTTAAAACAGTAGCTGTTTTAAAGGACTGATTGTTGAGAGACATTATGGAGCCTCCTCCAAAGCTGCCAGTGTTGAAAAGACATCTTATCTAAAGTCACTTTTTAAAAGGAGACAGAATCAAACTCTGGCAGATTGTCTTGAATTATAAGATCTATCACCTCTAAAAACACAAGTCAGTCATTTCAGTTCAGTCAATTTATTTATATATTTTTTTATTATTTCATAGCAGGTCCATCAGCCTCCACCTCTACCTCCATCATTGGTTTCATCCAAGAAGCTGACAGTGCTGGTAAGTTTTAGGCGTACATCAACAATTATTCACCTCTAGGAACATGAAGTGTATGAACATGTCAACTTGCTAAAATTACTTATTTTTTGCTTATTTTTTATTTGTTAATCTCCCTCATAGGTCTACCTCGGCCTACTGAAGTGGAGAGCAGTACCATCGTGCTTACTACCACACCTGGCTCTCTAATTTCTACTCCTCCAGAGGATCCAGCTGACTGGCCATCAGTCCTTAATGACCAGTTACTTACCAGGACTTTTCCAAAAAGACACTCAGACAGTAAAAGTATTTTCTGGTTGAGAAAAGTGATGCTATCAACTGTTTTGTAGTTTTTGTCTCTTAATCGATTGTCTGGTTGTCAATAACGATTTAAGCTTTGGTCATAATCACTTTATCAGTCATTTTATCCAGAACTAAGTTCATCAGTGTCTATTGGGTGTTGCACTGCCATTAAGCTCAGTAGCACTGGTGGTATCGTATGTTTCCAGTTTGACATCAAACATTGTAGATATAATAATATAGAGTATAATCTAGTTATTGTTTTTCATCAGAATCAGCTTTATTGTCAAACAGGTTTAAGAAATTTGCTTTTGTGTTTTTGTGCTAAACAAACATGGCAGGTTTAAGAATATAAGAAAGATTCTTCAGGTCTTATTTAAAAACAAGAGACGTTTCTGTGTAGTGACAACGCCCGACAGTCAGAGGGGCCTCCAACTAAATTTTATTAGGGTCCCTGAAGGTCTAGGGCCGGCTCTGCGTGGTGGTGTTACAAATCACTACGCTGTTGTGATGATAAATGTCTTGCATGGATTCCAATGTTACATATCTAGCGAATAGGAGCCCAGAGTGGAAATGACAGAAACTCCATTCACCCTATTACAAGTCAGTGTAGCAATAAAATTATTTAGCTGTTATTTTAAGATAAAAATACATAATGTTACTCAAATATTTTGTGGAATTTAGGTACCATGCACTGAAGAAAACAATGGCATTTTATAATTCTGTGATATTTTCATGAATTTAAACACAGTATTAGTAATAAAGTCAGTACTGGTATTACTCACCTTAACTAACACAAAGAACCCACAAGTTACTTTGTAGACTTTAGGCACTTTATTATTCATCAAATCTCCAGGATGGTCCTAGGATGGTATGTTTAAGCCCCCAGGTTGAGGTAATTCTGGATAGTTTCAGACAAGAGGAAGCTCAAAAATGCCTTTGGGAAGCAGTATAAGGACCAGAGGGCTCTTCTTTATGGCAATCCCGTACAGGTGAGTCAGCTCGCAGGGGACCTTACAGCGGTTGTGGGGAAGTAGTAGGACAGATGTTTGATATGATTGTCCATGATAATCTGACTAAACTGCCATGGCATTATTGAGTCTGAGGTAGTGTTCAAGTTAGCCACTTTATCATAACCCATGTCTCTGTGAAAGGATGGTTTTTGGCTTAGTTCATCAAAATTTTACTTTAACTAACACTGACAGCATAAAAGATCAGGAGGACCCTCCTACACAAAGAAAAAAACACCACATTAGTGAGGAGGTGGATAGAGAGGGAGATGGAGCAAGTCTGAGGGAGAGGATGATGAGAATCCCACCACAACTTCAAGGAGTAGTCCGGACATTTTACATTCTTTTTCACATTGTGAAAATGAGGTGAGGAGATAAATACAGTACCACTCTAATGTCTATATGATAAATATGAACAGTAGTTGGTTTGCTTAGCTCAGCACATAGACACAGAAACAGGATGAACCAGCTAGCCGGGGTCTGTGTGAAGGCAACAACACGCTATATGTTGTTTGTTTCATCCACACAAAAACTGAAATGAGCAACAAGTTGTGGGTGTTAAAATTAGATGTTTGTTCTGGGGGTTATGTGCCACACTATTTCTTGCCTGGCCAAGTAAACAGACGTAGCTGGACTTCGGTTTTAATTACTGAGCTTTAGAGGTGCTTGAGTCAGGCTTGCTATTTTCTTTGTTCTGTTATGCTGGCTGTAGCTCCATATTTGTCACACAGACATGAGAGTGGTATCATACGTTTTTCTGAAAAAGGGTGTTCTTTCTGTGTGTTCAAACAAATCCTTTAAGATCTCTGCTGCCACACCCAAAACACAAGACCCATCTGGAAACGTCAGCTGTCTGGGAACATCAGACAGCAATTACTACAGAGGCTTCAAACTATAGCTGGGGAAAGTGAATAATACTCTTTTAAGTGCTGCATGGTAGTTAACTTCCAAGTCCTTCCACTGAGATGATGTTGTGAAGCCAGGTGTTGATGTTTGAAGGACTGAATTACTATAACTATACCATACTTAACTATATTTTTCTTTAGTGTCTTTAACTCATTATATTTAAGGTAAATGCACTTAATTCTGTTACATTCTTTTGCATGTGGAAGTTCATGACCACACATATTCTTAAATTGTACTGGGAGGAACAAAAGGACAGATGATGGAGTCACAAGAGAGGTGAGTATGAGAGTGAGAAAGGAAGGAATAATGAGAAGAGTGCTGCTTGAGCAGAGAGAGATGAAAATAAGTTAGAGGGTTATAAAAAGAGGAGCACATCTCTGTGAGAAAAAGAGTCTGTGCCCTAAAACCCAATGCAGAAGTGTGAAATATATTATATATAAAAGTTAAAGAAAGAAATAAGACGAGAGGAAGGGTGGGAAAAAGATCATTGAAAACCCGACAGCAAGAGAGAGACGAGGAGAGACAGCAATGTGGAGGTGACAGATTTCTGAGTGTCTGGGAAAAAAATCTTCAGCAGGTGTGAATCTAGTCTCAGCCTGCAGATCAGAGGGAGACATCTAAACCCATACACACACACACACACACACACACACATACCTTGCATCTTATAGACACAGCTGAGACAATTCTTTTCTGGCAAACTCTTTCATTTTCCCTTCATCTTTCTACTAACCCTCCATCTCTGTCTCTAATACAAGCACACACACATTTTTAGTATTTTCTCTTTTCCATTTTTTCATTTCATTTGCAAATTAAAAAACACAGTCTCAAATGATTCTGCAGTGTCCCTTTCCTCCTACACACACACACACACAAACACACACATGGATTGAGATGGTGTTGATCACAAATGGCAGCTCAAATAAGATTTAATTTAGACCTACTGATTACATGGATGGAAAGATGAGGAACATTCAAATAAAAATAACATTTGCTGGTTCTTCATTGTTGAAAAATAGTAAGACTAGAAAGAAATCCTCTTTCTTTAAATCAAAGGAACTAAGACTCGATGTTTGTTGAAATCTAATTTTGTAAGAGCATTCACATTAAAGTAACAAGAAGATACAAAAGTAGGTAAACATGTAAAATCTAAAAACAAACTACCGCACACTGATCTGACTTACTACTTTATTTGTGAATAGGTATAGTAGGTAAACTGTGTTTCATTGATGTTTTTGGTTTAGTACAAGTGTGTGTCTGAGACAGACATAGGGTTAGTTTCAGTGTAAAACTAGCTATGAGTGATTTGAGCAGCCAAAATCACTGAAACATTGTTGAGGCCAAGTCCAAAATTTGATGTATCTGAAAACTGCCTGTTTTGTTTTTTGTTCATGTCGGGGAAGTCCCCAAAATGGCAGCAGTAATCAAAAAGTAAACAGAAGTGACCGACACAACAGCGGTGGCTTTGACAAAACAGTGTTTGCAATGAGATGTGATGAATGCGAAAAAACTTATGAAAGCTTTCCTTTTTGTCTCCAATAATTAGTTTTCTCATTCTTCTCTTCAGCCTTTCCTCCTCGTCATAAACCATTGTTCTTAAAAGTAATATACAGGTATATCAGTTTATATGTGTGTCTCTTTTGTCAACCCATGCTAATGATGGAAATGGTGGCTTACATACAGATTTGAATAAAATGTAGCTTTATATTTGCTTTTGAGGCTGCTGTTGCAAAGTATCACAGGTCCTAATGCTTTTGTGGAGTTTTTTGTTAAATTGAAAGACAAAACTGATAAAAAGAAATCTATAATGAGAGGTCTAACTGTAATAAACAATGTCCCCACCAGAAATGAAATTCTTTTATCAGTGACAGGGTAATGAAAAGCCATAAGAAGATGTCAGTGGTATTTGTGTGTGCGTTTGAGTACACACCCTCCTGGCAAGTCTGTGCTATATATACACATCATCCAGGTCATATATAGGATCATGATTTTTGTTGATTTTATGTGTGTATAATTCATTATTCATTGGGCCACACATCCATCTCCACATATGTGGACACATGCGCACACACATTTCTCTGTCCTCATGTTCTCTAAGAGGAGTAGACAGCTGCATCTCTAAAACTGAACTGTAATTAACACCTTTAAACCCAACGTGCCAGACTCACAAATAAAAAGAAGCTGATTAAGGGCCTGGGACACATTAAAAGTGGATTAGCCCGAAAGATGCAAATCCTGTGCTCATTTTCATCATAGTACCCAGAATCCAGGGCCTGAACCATCATTAGGGAACGGTGTGGGCA